GAGAGAGAGAGAGAGAGAGAGAGAGAGATGGTTCGATTGACTGATTGATCTCATTGGCTTTCACTTTTATGAGACTATCAAGAATTGCGAGGATACTTTAAACGTCATTTATAAATGCTCTCCTCTTATTACATCCATTTCAATAACTTCTACTTTTAGTTATTTTGCTTTTTTTTTTGCTTAATTTGTTCTGTACCATCATCATCAAGATAACTACTGTTTAAAAAAAAACAAGTTTTTGACAGAATTTGTTCACCTTTCAAATTTCATCATGCTGGAAAATTTCTCCTTAGCTGTCTTTTTGTATTTTTTTTTTTAAAAAAAAATTTTTCTGAGTTGTGCTATTTTATAAAATTAATTAATTGATGCAATTTTCAAATTACTGTAAAAGAAATCATCTGGTATACTGTTTTAAATGAATTTTAATTTAATTGAAATTAATTCTTCAAGTACGATTCAGTTAAAATGAATGAAAAATAATGGATTATCGTGATGGCGTGATCCGAAAAGGAAAAAATGGCAAAATCGGGTGAAAAAAAAACGACGAAAGTTTCTTTTCTTTTCTTCTTGTTACCTATTTATGAGTAATTTGAAAACATTAGCTATGGAATTGAATTATGCTTTGTGAAATCTTTAGGTTAAATAAGCATTCGAATTAAGCTGGAAATGAAATTTTTCTTCTAGATGGAGGAGCATACAATGTATAACTGTGAAAATTGCTGTAAACAAATGAAAGACATTGCACGTTAAAGACTTTCTAATATGATTTGTAGCAATGAAATTTGAATGATTGATAGATTTGATAAAAAAAATATTCATTGAATTTGCTAGGAAAATATTCCTAAGGCTTTTCCATACCCGATCCAAACAATAAACATTCAAAATTCTTATCAGAATTTCAAACTTTATATTTTAAGCAGGATAGAATGGATTTTGAGCTCATCATTAAATTGATGCATGATGAAAGCATTGTTTTGTTTAAGTAAAAAAATCTTGTTAAATCGATTGAGAAAAACATTTGACATTCATTTCTTACACTGCTTTGTTAACTAATTATTTATTAGTGTAAAAGAAAAAAAATGCATTTTTACTGGGAAAACGCAATTCATTCATTCATTCATTCTATTCTTATTACTACTGATCACACTTAGCCAAGTTTTCTTCTCAGTAAATTCCCTTAAAAAAATAGCTTTTCTGAAATTTTATTCCATTTTAAATCTCAAATATGCAAAAAAAAAGGTTTTTCTTAAATAATACAAAAGTTTGCTATACAAAAGTATAGCAAACTTTTGTATTATTTATATTATATTTGAATCATTTTATAAGGATATTAACAATAGCTTGAATAATGTTAATTTTAAATTGTTTAAATGTAAATAAAGTTAAGGATATGCTAATCAGAAATGAGACAAATATTGCTTTTGCTCAATCGTTGCTCATCAACATAAATAAAAATCATTCGCAGCAAAAATGAGCACTTTTATTTTTCCGTTTTTCTCATTCATTTGACAATGTTTTTGACTCGCTGGCTGCTACTTCGCTGCTCATTTTATATGTTTTCAAAATGACTACAGTCTTTCATTTCTTTCATATCATTTCTTTTTTTTTTGCAAAAAAATCAAAAAAAAAATTAATTTTTAATATAGATTAGAGAAGTAAAAATTGTGAGAAATTTTAATTTGAATGTATCAAGTTGTGTTAATTGTGATAAACTTGTATGCTGTTGTTTAACAATTATAGATCTCCAAATATTATTGAATAATTCTTCAGGTATTTGCTATATATTGAACAAAATTAAATTAACATTTTGTTGCATTATATAATTTGGTGATAATACCAAAGTTATGTACTGTTTCCCAACCCTTAAATGAAATGAATGTATAAAATTTCGAATAAATTCTAATTTTTATGAGTAAATAATTTTTAAAATTGTTATATAAATATGGATGATATTATTTACAGATCAGTCAAGAAACTTACGACGATATTTATAATTGTGACATTGGATCTACACGTGGTACTTTCCAAATGTCTTATGGCGAACTTAGAGGAACATTTGCGCCCGGGCCTTCAACTGTTGTTTCGGTAAGTTAATTTAATTAGTCGTTTTGAGCACATTAATAAATTATATTTCTCTGCAACATTCTTCCTCGAAAATATTAAATTGGAATCCTTTGTGAAATAAGAAAAGAATTAAATATTTTAAAGTATCATAAATTTTACAAGAAAAGGTAAAAATATATTATTAAATAAATGAGGAGAAAAAAAAATAAAAATATGATGCAAATGTCATTTGCATGGAGATAAATCAAAGAAAACAAATAGACAAAGATTTCAAGTACAAAGTAAATAAATGGGTAAAGTGAATAAATATGCAACAAATTTACAACTCTAATTTAATATTTTTTAATGAATCAGTCTTACATTTCCATATATTTGAGCATATCAGTTTTTGTTTTCCCACAAAATTTTTCTAATATTATCTCCAAATGTATTCAAATTTTCTCTTTAATAAATAACAAGAAGTCATTAATAGATAATTTTTCTTTCAAGAGAAATTCGTCTCATTAAAATTAGCCATGGTTATTTTTCTTTATTAAAAGAATGATTTCGTTTAATTTTGGACTTTACAATTATATGTTTTAATTGGATTGATTATCTGATTACTTGATTTACCTGATATGTTAACAAAAAAAAATTCTATATAAAATAAATCGATGAAGTAATCACTGAGCAAATATGCATTTGCAAAAAATTTCATATAACAGATCAGCAATCATTACATCCAGTAGTGATTGAATTCTTGCAATAATCATTTTCCTCTCTAATTTCTCATAGCTTTTCATATTTCATATTCTAAAAATAAAATTACAACAATTAGTAAATGTTTTGTTGATACAAAAAAAAAAAAATAAAACATCATCAATAATAAGATTTTATATCTTCTCAATATGACGTATGTGCAATATGATGTAATTGAATTTATGATATTTGCAACAACAGATTATCTTTCGATATTTTCTTTTATATACGCAATACTGATAATTGAAATAAATTTGTAAATTTGCTTTTTGATTGAAATGCCAATTGTTTTTTTTTTTTGGAATGGAAAAATTTTGGGGAAGGGATAGGAGATGGCGAAAAAAATAGATGCATCAAAGATGCACACATTAAAAGGTGAACTTTTTTTTTAAGAAAAAAAAATTTCTTGCACGGAGTTTTGAAAATAACATTTCATAGTGCACTGTAGCATTTGTCACTTTCATGGCAATGTTTTTTTTTTCTCTTAAAATTTGATAAGATTTTTGTAAATTTCTTTAGATAGAAATCATACTGTCTAGTTATGAAGAAATAAATCAGTTGAAAAAATTTAGTATTTTAACAATTACTGAAAAATATAAAAAGCTTAACACTTCTGATTACCACAATAATATTTTTTTTTGTATCAGAGAATTTTTAGGCTTTCTTTTTTTTCCAAGTAAAAGAGTTCCAGACTGTTAAAAGATTCAATTAAATCATATTCTTCAATATCGTTAGAATCTTTTTATAGACAATTTAAATTAATAGATTCGTTTTATACATTCTTCGCATTTCAACTGAATTTTTGCAATTTAATCAATCTATTAAATGCTCAAAGTTCAATGATATTTCTTTCCCGAAAACTTATTAATTTCTTTGCAGGATATGGAAAAGCAAAATGGAGAGATATTGGGACCACTCGAAATTGATGTCTCAGAAATGACCGCTACCACATACGGTTATGACCCAAAAAAATTACAACGGGAAAATGCTGATTCATTACGTCACAGGTGTTATTTGTTTTTGATTTTCATAAGAAGAAGAAAATTGTCAATTGTTTTTTAAGTCATTCGAATTACTGTATACTTTTTATTAGTAAATTCATTCTGCAGTTAGTTTTAAGTTTTCAAGTTTGGACTGTAATTCATTGGATGGCTGAAATTCTTAGCTACAATTATGTTTCTCTTGTGAAATGAACTATAATCCTAATTTTTGTTCTGTTACTATTTTTTGATCACAAGATAGATTATAGATGGAAAAGAAGAAATGATGCTAAAAGTTAGCTCAATTTGTTTTAGATTTTAGAAATATTTCTGAATTAGAATTTGAAGAAAATTAATTTTTCTGAAAATCTTCAAAAAAAAGAAGCTAAATTAAATGCATATTAGAATGGCGTTAAGTGATGGAGCAGTAATAACGATGTGTAATTCTTCGGAAGCAACATTGAGGTCAATTACAACATCAAGAAGTGTTACTGATGGTTCGTGTAATGTTTTTCCAGCTCAATTAAGTCTCAAAAATAAGGCAAAACCGGATAATATATATCAATTAATGACAGTTGATGATCAAAGAACATCAAGGTCGAGAGTGCCATATCAGTAAGTTTAATAATAAATGTTATCCATATTTGTTATAAACTGTGACTCAAGACAGAAAAATAGAATTCTTTAACAGATTGATATTAATACTAATATTTTAAGAAAAGAAAATAATTCCCAAGATGTGATTCTACTGGAACTGCTCATCATTCTTTTAGCCTATCTGATAGTCTAAGATATCGCGTTTCTGAGAATATTAGTACCATCAAATACTATAAAGTTGACTAGCATATATTGCTTTAGCATTCTTAGTAAGATTATTATTGTCTATTCATTTCAACAATATTGTAGTTCACTAAGCGCTGATGTATTTTTTAAATATACCTGTAGTAACATAATGATCATTAAAAGTGAAATTTATGCAAGTTCAAGTCATTTGAAAAGCGTAAAATTGCAGAACAATAAGTGAAAGAACACTACCGAAGGGTCGTTCGGTCAGTGTAACAACATTTGAAAATGTACATGATTTCAATACCGGTAATTCTGGTAATACAATCGCAGCTGCGGCGATGTCTCTGAAACAGTTCGCATCACAACTTCGCTCACCACGATTTTTTGAACCTGTCACAAATTTGAAATGCTTTGTACCATATACACCACCACCCATGCTAAGTCCAATGAGACGAGGCTCAGGATTATTTTGGAAAATTTCACAGACTCCTCCATCAAAGGTATATCATTTTGTTTTTCTTGGATATTATTGATTTCCTGCAACAATATGCCTATACGTGCAATCTGCATACAAAACGTTTAATTCCCGAATAACAATGTGTTAGTGCTAGATTTAATTTTTCAATATTTCCAGTAGATCTCAAATGTTTTTTGCAATGAAATATTTAGTTATTTGAAAATAATTTGAAATTAATTCTGAAGTTTGAAATACATATAGTTCATGCTTCTAATGCTTCGAATCATTGTAGATCAGTATGATGCAATCATCACAAGGAAATAATAATTTTGACAAAACGGGAGGTAAGAATTTTAAAAATATTAGGATTTATTTAATTTTTTTTTGCTAAATTGTGTAGGAATTCAAAATATTCGAATTTTATTACCACATTATAAATGTCTAATTTTTACTTGTTCATTTATAAGATTTCCTGAAAATATCACATCGTTTTTATTTTTAATTCTTCCAATTTTGCCATCGTAATTTCTTGGTTTTTTGAGCTGAGGAGGTTGATCGTTAAGATTGGTTGTGTTTAAGCATATATTATTGAAAAAGTGAGAAAATAAAAAGGACTTGAAAACACTTTTTCGTCTTTTCATCGCAACTATCATTTCAATTCAGTGCAATAAAAAGTAGAAATTATTAAATTCAAATAAAACACACATAACTTTATGTCATATATTTTTGAATAGAAAACTGGTAGAATTGCTATATTTTGAGATATTTCATAAATATAAAACGAACCGTAAGCACACAATTAAATAACGATGGAATATTATTCATAGAAAATATTTCCCTTGTTGCTCTCAAAATCATCACTGAAAAGCTCATTACCATAAATGTGATGATAAATTCCGTTCCGAATTTACAGCTAGCGAGAATCATCACGAAAATAAAACAGACGAGGAACCAATGGGAAAACGTTTACGACGTTGCATTACGTCAACATTGCAACCGGTTAAAGAAAGTTCTGCAGATGAGGAGGAGCAGGGAATGCGAATGCCAATGCGAAAGAATGGATTATGTTATTCATCTCAATTTTTCGATGTATGTTTATTCTTTTTTTTGCAAACAAATTTCTAAAAAGGTAATAAAAAATGAAATGTAATTTGCTAACCAGGCTTATTAATAAATATTGTCTTTATCCATAGGATCGGATTGGCTTGAAAAATGAAATAAGAAAAAATCATAATAGGATGGTCATTTCAACTTACTAAAGCATCAGCCATTAGTCTAATAAATTTTTTGCAATAGTCAGTGTAATTAGTTCGTCTTAGAAAAATTTTTTAATTAATTAACTTTTTTCTTTTGTTATTTATGAATCCAGTGGATTCATTGTTTTATGAAAAATCATTTGGATTTCAGAGACTTTTTTTACAGACCAAATTACTACACTTGGAAGCCATACGAAAAAAATCGGATATTTCCTGGAATAGTTCCAGCTCATCGGGTATCCTTTCTGGTACAGCAAATTTATCCTCTCCTAGGTAATTTGATTTTAATCACATAAATCCAACTGTTTTTCAAAAATTGACTTGTACAAACAGTTTTGAAAGATTTTAATAATGTAATTTCAATTTCATTCAGTTGTAGATTTATGAGATTTGCATTATTGATCTTCCCAATTACTGATTATTGTTTACGTTTATTATCTTTGTATCTTTTCATAATTAATAACTGTCGAGGTGAAGTATTTGGACACATTTTGTGATTGAGTTATATCTGAAAATATTGACAACTATTTCCAGGAAATTATCGGTTTCATTGGATGGTGAAGCTCTAAGAAAGGCATCATCATGCTCCGATTTCGGTGAAGAAATTTTCATCGCTCCAGAATCAGATGCTGTGCCGTAAGTTATAAATTTCCTTTTGTTAAGTAATATGGGTTACTGCCGGTTTTTTTTCGGGTTTTATCGTCATCCAATTTTAGATTTTTTTCAGAAATTTTAAGCCTTTAAGAGATTTGATTTTCGATTACTTTATTATTTATAGGCACATAAACTGTGGACGTGATTATCAAGTAAAGGTGAAAAAATGGGCTGATCGAGCCATAAGCGATGAGGAACGTGATGCTATACCTGATCGCGATGATGCCATCTTCGATTGTAATATCATTGATCATCTGGACGATTCTGCTGGTTAACAAATCTATTTTGTTTCATTTTCTACTTTGTTACATTTGATTCTACTCTTTCTGCTTTCTACTTTGATTCTACTTCGTTTCATTTGTGTAATCTTAAGAAGTCACAATTTGTGATTAATGAAAAGAATTGTTACAAATCGGTCGATAATCGTGTTCTTCAATATTTCTAGATACTCTTTTTTTATGATAATATAAATTGCTGTTAATTTTCTTTTTTCAGTTGAGGCCTATGAATTGTTAGCTTATAGCAAAGCGGTACCACGGCCAGGTAGGAACAGAGAATTGGCACTACATTTGCTAATGGAAAATAAGGTTTGCGTGTCCAGATTGAATAAAACTTTCGATATTTCTATAAAATTCTCTTTACTAATCGTGCATGCTTTTTTCTAATATTACTAATAATCTAAACTTCATTTTTTCCTTATTCATTACCATACTTTTTCCTTGATATATCAATATTTCCTTGAGCACATATTTATTAAGGGGAATATTCAAGAAGCTGTTTTGGATTTAATGCGATCAGATACGCTGGACTGGAGTCAATATCCAATCATCTATAATTCAATATATACTGATACAAGTTCTTGGACGCCGGAGGACATCAGTTTCTTCCAAGATGCCATCTATAAAGGCGAAAAAGATTTCCATCAAGTAGCATTAGATGTTAGTTTTATCTTACTTTTTTCTTTAAATATTATGCTGAAATTCAAAAATATATCAAATTTTATAGCAGAGCAGCACTACGTAAACGCATCTATAATGTAAGTAACTCTGACTTCATGAGATTATCTCCAGAAAATAATTAAAGGTCATATGAACATGTAGCTAGTCCAAATTTAGGCAAATATATGGATGACGCTGCAACCATCATAATTTCATTTACATCACTTACAGTTCTATTTTTCATATTTTGTTTCTCCATTTCTTATACATTGTAGCTGGGTAACAAAACAGTGAAGCAGTGCGTGGAATTTTATTACATGTGGAAGAAAGCATGCCCAGACGACTATCGAAAACTAAGAAATTTGCGACGTAAACGTCAGTTGCTGGAAATGCAACAACAGGTTGTTTATTTTATCATAAATGTTTTCCGACACAGTATGCTAAAATAATATTTGTAAGCACGTTAAAATGTTTCACTTCTCATTTATAGTATATGAACTTTAAAATTTAATCTTTGAACTGGAAACAAACTTCAATCATAATTTTTGTTTGAAAAAAAAA